TCCGCTGTGACGGACTAGGGGACTTCCCTGCCCCTGCGCTTGAGCTATTCGGACGTGGTCCGCTGTGACGGATCTAGGGGACTTCCCTGCCCCTGCGCTTGAGCTATTCGGACGTGGTCCGCTGTGACGGATCTAGGGGACTTTCCTGCCCCTGCGCTTGAGCTCCTCGGACGTGATCCGCTGTGGCGGATCTAGGGGACTTCCCTGCCCCCTGCGCTCGGGCTCTTCGGACGTGGTCCGCTGTGACGGATCTAGGGGACTTCCCTGCCCCCTGCGCACGAGCTCTTCGGACGTGGTCCGCTGTGACGGATCTAGGGGACTTCCCTGCCCCTGCGCTCGGGCTCTTCGGACGTGGTCCGCTGTGACGGATCTAGGGGACTTCCCTGCCCCCTGCGGTCGAGCTATTCGGACGTGGTCCGCTGTGGCAGACCTAGGGGACTTCCCTGCCCCCTGCGCTCGGGCTCTTCGGACGTGGTCCGCTGTGACGGATCTAGGGGACTTCCCTGCCCCTGCGCTTGAGCTATTCGGACGTGGTCCGCTGTGACGGATCTAGGGGACTTCCCTTTCCCTGCGCTCGAGCTCTTCGGGCATGGACCATTGCGGCGGACCTAGGGGACAGCGGGCGCGAAAAACAGCGATGTATTTTTATTTGGTTAGTTTACTATACCCTCGCTCACTTAACACTGTAAAACATAGATCAAACACAAACTCACGCAGAGATATTCGAAACACGCTCACACTTCTCTTGTGTCCTCGTTTTCACATATCAAGCAACTGCCCAACCGCCGCCCGCCGCACCGCCGCCGAACAGGGCCGCCACACAAGGTCGCGGAGAGACGGCAGCCGCTACGGAGAGGTCACGCCGGCTCCAGCCGGCGGTGGTAGCCGCGCATCACCTCCCGCCCTTATGCGTGGGACGGTGACAGATGCTGTAGGCCCCACCGGTCCGGTCGGAGAGGGTTCGCCCCGGGGTTTGGAAGGCCGGAGCCTCACCGCCGCGCCACGTTGACCGTGGCGGACGCACGCTGCCTGCCGGCTCACTCACTAAGGGTGCAAGTGGCCGAATCTGTGGATTTCTTCAGGCTGTGGCTGGGAACTTACTCATTCTTTCCCACGCTAAAGCCAGTGCGGCCCTGCCGCTGTCTGAGCGGAAGGACAAATCACAGATGTGTAGATGGGCTGGTGGATCACTGCAACTGCGCAGCGATGGCAAGATCGGAAGAAGTATTGACCTTCTATCTCTGGGCTCCCTCGGCCGCCGACGCGACCCAAAAGGTTTCCCTACCGGAGAGCGCTTCAATATTCATCATCAAAATAGTTATATACATACATCTGAAGCTGGCGGTGTCGGAACAGATATTTACATGAACAGATTGAACAGCTCGTCTTTACAGCGACAGTGATACTTGCTTTGTAACCCACCGTCGTTACTGGGGCTATGTTCTCAGACGCGGTCACAGCTGAGGACGGTGCCGATGATGCTGGCTCTGCTGCTGTCGGTCGTCTCGGGCCGCACGTTCCTCGTGAAGGGCAGCGAGAGCTCGGACGGCTGCGGCCAGAACCCGCTCGTGACGCTGCTCAACGCAGCTCAGCAGTTCCGTGAGTGACACGGTCGGGCGGGGCGCGGCTGGGCGGCGTCTCTCCATTCGCGTTCAGCTCGGCGCTGACCAAGCCTCCCGGCGTTTCGATGGTGATACGATAGCGAACAATGGTAGATGCGCAAGGCTTTCAGCACATTTTGCAATGCCTTTTTGCGTGTTGCGTTGCGGTTTTTTTAATGTTTTTTTTTCAGGCCACTGACCTATGACTGCTCAGAGACTAGCGTTCTCATGTGTTTAATGTATCAGTATCCCTTGCAGTGCAGCCGATCAGCGTCCGACTGAAAGTACCTATTCTTGTTCACAGAACCTTTGCAAGCTCGAAACTGTACTAGCACGAAATCCATGTTATTGCTCAGGGTTTTTATCCTGACGATAGCTGATTGCTGCTCCCTGCCTCTTGTGTTATGGAGATAAATTACAAATGTAGGAGTACCCCCCGCTTGGAGGGCATTTTCAACAATGTAAGTTGAGATCAATGACCTCAAGTCACGTCACCTTGAGATACAAAGTTGTTCTTCTGCAGGCTGCTTATAAAGCAGCAAACTGTTATCATCCTGCATAAATTATCGAAAGTTGCATGGTTATTAAATTATTTCCCAGACTTTGAATATCATAACTTACCTATCGACATTATCACCCAACATCCCGTCACTCGATCTGCGCTGGCATGGCTCGGCCATTTTCACATGTATCACGATGAAAAAGCACGGCTTGACCTGAGTTCCAAGCCAGGAGGATTTCTCGATGACCCGTCTATTGATTCCGTGTCATTACTACAGGGGGCTGTGGACACCATTTAGAGCTGTATCGCATGGCCAGGACCTGACGCGGTCGGTGTCTTGACCTCAACTCGGCGACCGGGGCAGGATTTTTAAACGTGGCTTTGTCTTCACAGAGCCCATCCACGTGTACTTAGTCAATATCGTATTCAAAGAGGGGGAGATAATGTAAATTGTCCTCAAAATCCTGCAAATTGCAACCAAATTCGACTCGTGGGGGGGAGGGAGGGCTTGGCCCTCCTCTTGGCGACGTCCAAACCAATTCATGATACCTGCCACCTTCAATATATCACAACATTGTCAAAACATGCAAAAAATACTGAACGACCAGAAGCCGCCTTAAAAATCCAAGCACGCAATCCGTGGCTCGGATAATGTAAAGCACCAGGGGAAGCAAGCTGATACCAACCGGTGCCGCATCTTATAACTGGTGATGCCTTCCACACAGCTTTACAGGTGTCGGCGTGCGTCTCTGGAGGAGGCATATGACCCTGCAGCCTGTGACCTCTAACAGCTCTGTGCGCCTCACCACCTAGCCTGTGCCCCCTGGCCCAGGGTCTCACCCTCTGTAACCTTTGGCAGAGGGACTCTCCATGAGCCAGCTGATGAGCGCTCTGGAGCACGACCGCGACGCCTTCGGTGAGCTGCTCGGTTTGATCCAGGCCTACCACGACTGCGTCCGCACCGGCGACGGCATACGCTACAAGCGCACGCGCTCCAACACGCGCAGCTCGATCTTGTCGCTGCTGCGGCCGGCAGGCGACGCTAGCGGCGCCCGGTGAGCGGCCAGCGGTGCCGCGGCCGCCGCACCAGGCGGGCCTGAGCTGCGCCTCGGGACACTGCCGGCGGTGGCTGCGGTTCGCCGCGCGAGGCAGGCAAGGCGACCGAACGACCGATCTCACGAAGACGAGGCTACGCGGCGCTAGCGTTCAGTGCTGTTCACTGAGCCGGCGTCTGCCAGGCCGAAAACAGCATGCACCACCGACAGATGTAGTTCCCTCGCACAGATGTATGGTCACGCTTTTGGACAGGGAGATGCGCTGGAACTATTTGTACGGCTTGGCGAAACTTGTGACTTCCAAACTCAAAGAGGAGCGCCGGCGCCACCATCCACAAGATTGTACCGTCGGTACACACCCACACACCTGCATTTATATATATCGAACGAACATATGACTGCGAGTGCTTGTTCGCATTTAGTGTTTGATGAATATACAAACGCATTTGAAGGATCTTTGACCCCACGACCTGATGACAATAATACTGTACGGAAAAGTAGACACGAGTCTGTTTTTACACGGCGGAGGCTCCAGACACGTCACGGAATCGCCTCTGGTGCCTGTTTTCTTTCACTTCGTCGTGCTAATCTTCCAGTGATGCTGCACGCTTAATTTCTCTCAACGGTCATGCTTGACGAACAGCCTGGTGCTGTTTTGTCAGCACTCAATGGCGTAACATTTTCAAAAGGACTTGGCGAGCAGCTCGGCTGTTCTGCTGGTCCCAGGCCTGTTGCGCCACCATACAGCCACTTGCCGCATGCTCTACCTTCTCCAGCTTCGGGACTGGTTGGCGGCTGGCCGGAACGACACGGAACACCCGATCACAGACCACTGGATGCAGAACAGCCGGCTGCTGTTCACGGCGCAGACATACGGAACGCGGAGACGTGCCGATTTACGCCTCTTGTCTGCTATGTCTTGTCTGCTTGTCTGCTATGCTTTGAACTGTTTTTGCAGTATCCGTGGATAATTTCATAGCTTCCGCAGTATACCTCAACGTCACTAATCTCATGTGAGGTCTGATCCCGATTTCCTACCCGCGTCTTATGCCGCGTTCTGCGCAGCGTCGACGAGCACCACCAATTTGCAATATACACGTGACGGCTTCTGTGGCTTCTCAGCTTCATACCATTGGCACAGCCGGTTGATGGGACGATTAACATTACGCGCTCCGCACTTATCCTATTGTTGAAGTAAGGAACAATGTGTAGCATATCACGGTAACAATGTACGACATATCGCCGCAACGATGTGCGCTATCCACCCCAGCACATCCAACAGAGCCAGTGCAGAAAGGCAAGCCCACAATTTGCGAAGTAGGGATTCGGCTCAAGCGCGCAATAGCGCCATCACTGAGCATCTCGATGGCCAGCATGGGCGCGTAAGTCTCCGCCCCACTTTAGCCTTACAGGCCTATGGGTCATGTCCGGCCCGGAACGTCGCAGAATCACTGTGACTAACACAAGCTAGCAACAGGACGCTGCGTGAACGAGGACCAGAAACAGGACCCTCTCCCCTGTCAAAAGCCTGCGCTGCTCCAGCATCGAGTGGTCAAACCCCAGCTATAATTTAACATAGCCCAGCACATGAGTGAAGGCTAGCCATGTCATTTACAGCCAACAGATTTAGAGGTTCTGAGCTGTGTCCCACGCACGCGTTCCCTCCGCACGCTACGCCTGGAACTGCACGCCCAGAGAGCTCGGTTTATAGCGACGGCGATCCGCACTTATCCTTTCGTCGAAGTAGTGAGCAATACGCAGCATATAACGGTAGCAACGCGCGGTGATCGCCCGACCGCACCCACCAGGCATGGCCCAACGTGGAGGCGCTGAAACACCGAAGGCCTTTGTCCGATCACGGATGATATATTCGCCGAGTCGACCACCCAATCCCTCCCGACTCGCAGCTGTTCCATACAACAGCGTCCAGCAACACACCGTATCAAACGCACCGCGCGCGCGGGGAGGGCGGGCGTTGACTCGCGACTCGACCTTCCTGCCGCCTCCAACACAGTCCCGTGCGAGATTGCCGCTCTCGCGCACAGCGCGCGTCCGAGCGGTCACCGCTGAAGCAGGACTGCTGACGCCGGAACGAATGAGAATGAAGCCCACAGACCCCTCGGTTGCCGCGGCGCCGCACCAATGCGCGTGAATGAACTGATTAAAATAACGCCAGCCAGCCCACAAGATCCAGGCGACAGAGCAGGGGTGCTGGCCGACAGTGCTCCCGTACACCGGCTCGCGGACGGGGACGCACGCCGTGACGCCATGCCGAGTGCAGCACGTCCGCACCGACTCACGGCCGGTGCGCCATCGAGGTACGGAGTCGCGGCGCGACCGGGTGGAACAGCCAACTGGTCAAGGCGCCGCTCCAACTATGGGTGTATGTAAGCACAGTGGCTAGCAAATGAAACCGGTCAGCACCACGCGAACATAGTCGAGACCGCGGCGATGAATCCAGAAACCTATCCGCACGACTGCTGGACATTCCGATCGAGACAGAACTAGACAGGTGCGGCCCGCATTTTCGGATCAGCTAATCTAGCGGAGCCTCTCGGCACACCGTTCTGAACGCGGAAGTAGCCACCTCAGGAGAGCACGGGCAGAGGAGCCCGCCGGAGGCAGCGGTGTCCGCGGCGATCGCCGCCCGCGCCGCTCTGCTGGCTAGCAGCCGCAAAACACCTAGAAGCCGTCGCGGAACTGCTTCGACTCCAGCTTCGCTATGAGCAGCTCCAACTGGCGTTTGGCCTCGCATTGCGGGAAGTTGCTCATCTCGTAGTACTGCGGCGCGATTTTCACCAGCCATTCCGCTGAAAACGGACAGACGACGCGTAAGGGCGCGGAGCGCAGAACACGAAACCACGGCCCGGGTACACGGGGAGTCGCGGTGCCGAACACGACGTTCGGGACAGGGCAACTCGTGAGGTCTCGCGAGGCCTCAGGGCGGGACTGGGTTACGGGGAGGCTTGAGACCCAAACCTCGCCGTCTCCAGTGGCTGGCCGACGTCAGGCCCCGCACCGTGGGGCGCCCGGGGACGCAGGACAGACACCGAGCATGCAACGGGGGCTCGCAATACGGTCTGATCGAGGTCTGACTCGTCCAGACCTTGCCTGGCACGTCCGTGCCCACCAGGCCAGACCAAGGTCCTTTAGGCCATAATTCGGGCTTTACTACGAGACATTACGAAAAGACTTCGGGCGTCTCATTCACCAGGTCTCAAACCGATGAAAGCCGCAAACGCCTACCTTTGATGTCGGTCACGGTGCGAATGTAGTTTTTGGTGGTGAGCACGAACTCGTTGTAGAGGACCCACTCGGGTTTGTGGTCGAGGCAGGTGGACGGATGGAGCTGCACCACCTGGTTGTCCTTGCAGGTCAGGTAGTGTCCAGTCCGCTCCAGATGCGCCACCTGGAGACGGCGGCGGTCACGTGACACGGCGCGTCTCGACCGTCCCCGGGACAGATCCACAGAGTACCGAGCGCTCCGCCCCACTGATCGGGGGCACCTGCGTGACGATTTCCCCCACGGGGCTTGTGATTATCCCCACACACAGGCGGCCTGGAGCAGCCACGTAGCTCTGACGCTCAAATAATTTCCACGGTCAAAGAGCGGAACGACACACACTGGACGGCCTAGGCAGTAACTACTCGTATGAGGATGCCTAGGATAGTAGATACATGAGGACGGAAATCGGAATTTACACCAAATCGAAATCTTGGCAGCCGCGCTGCCGCTCCGTTCTCCGGCCAGCACCAAACACCCAACCCACCTGCATGAAAAACCCTGAGACGAGGGCCTTGCGGATGTTGATGTAGTAGTCGCGCGAGGTGAAGTCGGTGGACCTCCTGGGCATGTTGAAGCGGTCCATGATGCGTGACAGCTGCTGACGCACGTTGTCGGCCGACTTCAGGGAACGATAGTTGACGAAATTGTCGTGGCACCAGTGCGGGTCCTCCATGTCTGCAGCAGACCGGTTAGATACCAGCGGCGCGTCAGTGTCGCCCAAGGCCGGCCGGCGTCGGCGGCCGCCCTCCGGTCGCCACAGGTCACCGGCGGTCACCAATCACCGCCGGTCACCAGCGCGCCGTAGCGACACGGTGCGCATGCCGGCACACGACATCCCTACACTTAAGGCCAGGTCCCGCCGGCGGCTGCTGTGAAGGGGCCACGATCGGAGGTACAGAACCCGCCGGCCTTGGCAGCGCACAGCCTCACCCAAATCTTTTCGTTTTGTTCTTCCCCGAACAGCACCACTCTGTGAGGACTGCAGTGCGTGTGCGACGTTACCGACCATTGGGTGAAGGAGGCTCGCCTGCTCGCTTTCATTCCGAAACGCGCCCGCACTGCCGCGCGGGGACCGCCGATACACGCAGCACAAGTGTACTCCGGCGCGGAAGTCGACACTGGCTGCCTTCGATAACAACGTTTCATTCATGCGTCCGCCAATTCAGCCGCGTTTCTGTCAGTGCGTGCTGCGCGGGGCGGCGTCACTCACTCTGCTTGAAGGCGTGGTAGACGTTGAGCAGCGTCAGATGATCGCCGTCAATGTGGGCGAAGCGCATCTTGGACTCGTCCGCAGCCTTCCGCGCGTCGTTGGGCCGCACGAAACACTGTGGGACTAGAGTTCAGGAGGCAGGAGCACCCCCGCGTCCAGCCCGTTAGTTTGACCTAGGGACGTCACACAGAGACGGGGTCAGGAGGGAGGCGGGCCACCGGGCGCCGCCGCCGGGCGGGGTCGCGGCGCCCGGCGGCTCGGCCGGCTCCGCACAGCGCCACGGCGGCCCGCAGCCCGGCCATCGGTCGGGCGGGTCCGGCGCGCGCGCGCGCCGGCGTCACGTGCAGGACAGCATCACCGTCTCGAGGATGGCGCCGATATTCAGTCGCAAATGGAAACTCTCCGAGATACGTCGGCAAACGGAACGTTCAGGTGACCAAGGCCTCTACAGATCCCAGGCCAGCGTGCCCCACCGAGGGCCGGTCCCTCCCTTGACGCATGCGACGGGCGAACTGGCGGCGCCGCCCACTCACCTGACAGCATCGCCGTGATGCTGAGAATCTCGTTGCTGCAGTTGTAGTCCGTGGAGGCGATCAGCATCTTAGCCAGTTGGGGGTCCAGCGGAAACTCGGCCATGATGGCACCCAGATCGGTCAGGTTGCCCGAGTCATCCAGCGCCGCCAGGTAGTTGAGCAGCTCGAGCGCGCGCATCAGCGTCTCGGGCGCCGGCGGGTCCATGAAGTCAAAGTGCACCAGGTCGTCAATGCCGAGCTTCTTCAGCTGCAGCACCACCGTGCCCAGGTTGGAGCGCAGGATCTCCGGGTACGTGTTGTCCTGCATCTCCGACTTGAACGCTTTCTCCGTGTACAGTCGGAAACACTTGCCCGGCTTGGTGCGTCCGGCGCGACCAGCCCGCTGCTGAGCCGACGCCTTGCTGATAGGCGACACCAGCAGCGACTCGACGCGGATGCGGGGGTTGTACACCTTCTGCTTGGAGAAGCCCGGGTCGATCACGAACACGACGCCGTCGATGGTCAGCGACGTCTCGGCGATGTTCGTGGACACGACCACCTGCCGGGTTCGGACGGACGGTCAGAGGGACGGTCAGAGGGACTGGCGCAGCGCAGACGGGTCAAAGAGATGGGCACAACGGAGACACCGGTCATCGGGACCGACAAAACAGAGATCAGCGAAACGGACAGTCAAAACGGAGGCCGGTGAAAGGAACAAGGACAAAAAAGACGAGTCAAAGGAACGGACAAATGATGATTCGGGCTTTGGGGTGCGCCGACTGCCCCGATCATACGGCACACGTACGGAACGGACACACCGGAGACCGGTAAAGAAGACGTATACACCGGAGACAGGCAAGAGGGACGGACACGCGGGAGACAGGCAAGCGGGAAGAACACGGGGGAGACAGGCAAGAGGGACGGACACGCGGGAGACAGGCAAGAGGGAAGAACACGCGGGAGACAGGCAAGAGGGACGGACACGCGGGAGACAGGCAAGAAGGACGGACACAAGGGATACTGGAGAGAGAGACGAACTCGCGGTCTTTCTTCGGGCTCTAGCCACGACCGCAACAGACGACACATCGCTCGTTCGACGGCGCCGGACGCCAGCGGCCCAGCCACCGGCCTGCCTGTGACCCACCTTCCTGCCGACGGCGCCGTTGGGTCGGTTGGCCGGCGCCGGCTCGAAGATGCGCTGCTGCAGCGCCGGCGGCAGCGTCGAGTACAGCGGGATACACTTGAGCTCGCCAATCTCCGGGCCCACGTTGTCGATCTCGCGCTTCAGCCGCTTGCACGCCTCCTCGATCTCCTGTGCACGAGCGGCGGAGACGACCGTCAGCGGACGCGAGAGGCGGACGGGGTGTTATGGTGCATCGCTTGGCGCAGAAGGGCTTTGGCGCCGCACGTCTGAACGCTCGCCACCCGGAGATGGATGACGGTGCGGCTGTTCCGGAGAGACTAGCAAAGAGACAGCATCACACGCTCGCCCGGGCTGAACATTGGACTCGACCCATACATCTCTGCAGCACACGCCCGCCAGAGCTGAGCAGTTGCCTCGATCCACACATCCCTGCATCACACGCCCGCCCGGGCTGGACAATGGATTCGGCACCCCGGCCGTCCCGCCTCTCGCCCCCCGTCTGCCGCCACACTGACCTCCTGCCCGGTGAGGAACAGCAACATGTCGCCCTCGACCTCCTCGCACATGTGGATCTGCACGACAGTGCGGATGGCCGCCTCCAGGTAGTCGCGCTCCGGCTCCGGTGTGTAGAAGATCTCCACCGGGTGAGTGCGGCCGGGCACGTTCATCAGCGGCGCGCCGTCAAAATACTGCTGGAACTTGCCGGCGTCGAGCGTGGCAGACATGATGACGATCTTGAGGTCGGGTCGCTGCTTGATCACCTCCTTGATGACGCCCATCAGGATGTCGGTGGCCAGCGTGCGCTCGTGAGCCTCGTCCAGCAACAGCACCTGCCGACGGGCGCGCCGGACGTCACACACGGGGTCAAAGCAGGGTCAATGAGTATCACGACGCCAGGGCTGAGCACCACTAAAGGCCACTACATGAATGCAGTGCAACACAAACAGGTCGCTGACGTATGGTGTGTTGCCTATTAAGCCCAATGGGCTGTGATGTTTGTAATCACCCGATGTAGACGGTGACGCATCAAAAAGGCTTAGCAACACAGTTTTTATGAGCAAAGATCAACTGGACGACAGCCTGGCAGCTAGTAGCAGCCAACGATGGATGAATAAGTCGGAGAAGCGCCTGCCGGCTGGTCGACCGGAGCATGGTATTCGGCACTGGTGTCACTGACCTGATAGTTCTCCAGCATGGGGTCGGACATGGCCTCGCGCAGCAACATGCCGTCCGTCATGTACTTGAGCAGCGTTTTCGGGCAGGAGCAGTCCTCGAACCGGATGGAGTAGCCCACCTCCTGGCCAATAGCCACGTCCATCTCTTCCGAGACGCGCTGCGCCACAGACATGGCAGCCACCCGGCGCGGCTGGGTGCACGCCACACCCTTCTTTCCCCGCGCGCGCGCCCAATGCACGCACCTGTCCGACAGAAACGACACCACCGATCAGCTGCTGGAGACAGCCGGGAGCTTTAGGGTGCGTTGACTGCAAATGCAGCCTGGGGACAGCTGAGTCCGCTGATCATTAGACGACGGACGTCAGAGTATGGAGGAGGGAATTCCTTGAGGACAAACCGGTGCTTACTTCCTAAAACGGCTTCCAACGACTCAGTTTTTAAAGTTCTACAGATAATCTAAACACAGACAAGGACCCACAGAGTGCAGTTTTGTTCAAACCTTTACCAGAATCCAATAGGGCTGGGTAAATGTCAACAATACATTTGGAGGCCCAGGGCCCTAGCAGGAATGAGCAGAAGGGTGCAAAATTTACTGAGCAGGAGACCCAACAAAGCTAATGCGAAAGTAGTTTCCTGAAACATGACATTGTTGTTCCACGTCTTTCAGACATGTTATGAAGGTAAAACATCATGCAAACATCACGCAAACATCCAAATGTTTACAAAGAATGGGCATACTCTACGACCGACCATTTTCCGCTGCACTGAACTCAAAATGTTGCACACCTGGCCTGTGAGCTCAGAGAATCCAGCTCACAACGCAGACAGTATG